CCAGCTTTTCCTATTACAAGCACTGTTGTAATAAATAATCTTGGACATCTGTTACTTCATGTATAGAATATTTAATCTCATTCTGGAATAAGATATATGTATGCCTTATGGATAATTAATATTATATTTTATGTTGTACTACAGTGGTACTTATGAATTTAAGAGAACTGGCACCAGAGCTGAATTAAGATTAGATTGAACATGACTTCCATAGATGTAATTTGGATGCTTTTTTAATTTTGTGTTTTTGGTTTTTCTTGTGACATGTCATTATTTATTTAGGTAGATGTTGCAAGTAATATTATACCAGTATTATTTTTAGCTATTGCTGGCTTTGTTTACTATTGTGCTCTTAGAGATAAAAATGTTGAAAGGGTCTTTTCTATGTGAAAATTAAAAAACAATTGACATTGAAATGTTATTATTTAAAAATGTCATTTAGGAGATGAAATGCTACTAGGATTGCTAGGTCCTGCTTGTTAGTGTGTCCCTAGTGAGCAGTTTCATGTCTCACATTATAAACATTTAATATGCACATGGATTGTCATGACAACTTTTACAAAAAACATATATTTTGCTTAGAGTAATAATTTTTCTGTGCATTAAAATGGTATAAAGCATTATTCCAAAACAATCCCATCTAAAATCCATGCATTTAGGAGAAGTTTTTACTCTCTTCAAATACCCAGTGCCTTTGTTCTGGGGGTTTCCGTCTGTGGCCAAATGTACCCTGTGTACTTTAGTTGTGTTTCTTCCCATACAGCCAGATGGCCAATTCACACAGCCTACACAATGCTGGCGGTTACAACAGATGCTGTCTTTACTACTCATGTTTCATAGTTGAAAAACTAGGAAAGAGAGAAATACATTTGTTTTCTGTCCTCCTTTGGTCAGTAAGTGCTGTAAGTTTTTGTTTTGTTTGTTTTTGTTTTGGGGTCCCATGTAGCCCAGACTGACCCTGAACTCCCTATACAGTCTTAGGTGACCCTTGAACTTTTGATTTTCCTGCCTCTACCTTCCAAGTTCTGGGATTGCACCTAGTGTGTACAGTCCTGGGCACTGAACCCAGCACTGTTCATGCTAGCTACACTACTGTGTAGCTGCATGCCGAGCCCTCTGTCTGTAATACTGAAAGATTTTAACTTTCAGCCAGTTTTGATGGCTCATACTTTTAATTCTAGCACGTAGGAGTTTGAGGATTGCCATTAGTTCAAAGCTAGTCTGGGTTGCGGAGTTAAGCACACACCTCCCCCAGCTTGGGATTAGAGATATAGCTAGCTTGGTGTCAGAGCATTTGCCTAACATGTGCACGGTACCAGAACTGTCAGAAACTTAATAACAAAATTTTATTTTGTTATGCTAGTTACATTTGAGAAATGTAGTAGCAACTAGATATTTGGAGTTAGTTTTTCTTCAGACATATTTTTCTGAGCAGTTGAAGTTTGGTGTAGATTCCATCAAGCCTTTTTCTTCGCTTATTACTAAGTAGAAATAAACACCCAGAAAACAAACATTTAGGAACAGAACAGGTTTAATTGATTTTAACATACATGTAATTTTATTTATAACTCTACAGATTGCTGTTTCACTAAATAATATGTCCTTGAGATCTTTCCTAATTATGTATTTAGATCTTTCAGGGTGTTTGTTTGTTTGTTTTTGTAGCCCAGGGTAGTCTTGAACTCGGTATCCTAAAGTCTTTCAAGAGTCTCCTGTTTCTGCCTCCCAAGTGTTGGTTGGTATTAGAGGTCTTTGCTACCCCAAAACCTACTTCTAGTTTTTAGATTTTTCTCCCCCCTATGCTCTGTTTCTGTCTGTCTGTCTCTCTGTGTGTGTATGTATTAAACCCACAGCTACATTCCCAGCCTATAGGTCTTTTCCCCCCAAAGTATTTGTTGTATTTCTTAGTTCAAGTAATACAAGTGACCTGTTTTTGTTTCTTTTCTTTTTTCTTTATAAGTAGAAATTCTAGGTCTGGTGTGGTGCAGGAGGTAGGGACAGGTAGGTCTCTGTGAAGTCAAGATCAGCTTAGTTCTACATTGAAACCTTGTCTAAGAAAAAAAACAAAGAACCTACTTCATTGAGAATGGAAGGAAATCTTAGGGTGTAGTCTCACAGGAATAGGCTTAGTAAATCAGTAAAGGGGGTATCACCTACATCCTCTGAGGAGTCTGTTGTTTTCTTATTGTTGTTGTTTTTTTTTTTTTTTGCACAGGTGAAAGTATTTTTCTCTGACAAATATTTAAAATGATAGAGTATGCATATTTTAACTCAATGTAATAGTAAAGTAAGTGTTTGCTAAATATAGAATAAATGGTAGGTAGTGGACATGTAGGGTATTTTTAGTGTAAGCTAATTGGCTTTGTTAATGCATCTGTACATGTCAGTAGAGCTGTGTTGTTGGTTTGAGGCCAAGAGTCAGTTGTAATATTTCTTATCCTGGCAGTTGAACAGGGTAAGGGAAAGCTTGGATGGGAGCAGTTAATCCCTTTAGTGTGGACAGTGTGTTGCCTCTTAGGACTCAACCTTGGCCTCGGGTTTAGGAGAGAACTTGTCAATTGCAGGATTGGTGTGTATATGAACTCACAAAGGCTGGCAACATGCACTGAGCCTTCATGGGTCTAAGACAAAAGAGGAGGTGACGCAAGCCCAATACCTAACCCAATATCTCTAATTGATAACATCTTACAAAGGAATAATTGTTTTCCCCAACGGAGCTTTACTGGGTATACAGACCCCTATTAAGGACAGAACCCATGCCAAGCAGTGGGTGACTAACACAAAACAAACTCAGTGGCATTTTTGAAAGATCTTTGTCTCATAATGCTCAATCCTGATGTGTTTAGAAGGCTTTGTTTCCTTGGTGTCCTCCATCCTTTCTGGCTCTTCTACAGTTTCTACCTCCTTTTCTGTAGTGTTCCCTGAACCCTGAGTGGGGGAGGGATTTGATGGAAACATCCCCTTTAGGACCGAGTGTTCTGAGGTCTCTTACTCTGCACATTGTCCAGTTGTGAGTATTTGTTCCCATGTGCTACAAGAACAATGATGGCTGAATAAGACATTAATCAAACTGCTGGTGGTGGCGCATGCCTTTAATCCCAGCACTTGGGGAGGCAGAGGCAGATGGATCTCTGTGAGTTTCGAGGACAGCCTGGTCTACAGGAGCTAGTTCCAGGACAGCTAGGACTGTTATACAGAGAAACCCTTTCTTGAAAAACCAAACCAAAAACAAACAAAAAGGTGCTGAACTATGAGTATAGCAGAATATCACTAGGAGTCATTTTGTTGGCTACATTCCTTTAGAAGAACAGTAGTAGTATTTGGATTTCTGTCCTCTCAGGTTCCTGGCTACCCAAGCAGTGTTGCATATGGATTCCATCACATGTACCAAGTCTTAAGTCCATCAGATAGTAGTTGATTACTCCTACAAGTTTTGTGCAGCGATTGCACCGGTGCATCTTCCAGGCAGTTCACCATTGTCAATGGAAGGGTTTGCAGCTGGCTTGGTGTTTCCCTTTCTCCTCAGGTAGCATGCAGAGAACCTTCCAGTGTCATGAGCCCTATTAGTAGGAATGAAGACTCTAGTTAGGCACCAGCTCAACTTCTTGGTGTACAATAAGGTGTGTAAGTGCTGTCTTCAGTAATGGAAGCAACTAAAAAAACCTTGGCAATAGGCTGGGTTGTGTGAGGTTGTCCTTGGGTCACCTTTGGCCAGAAACTCATTAGATTTACCAATTCCTGGAGCATGAAGTTTGGTTTAACGGTGAGATGTTCTGTTGGATTTTGTAGTTTCTCACTCTTGAGCTGTTTTATGTTTTAGGGCCTGGTTTTGTTTTTGACTTTGGCCCCATTTCTAAGGAAGTCTGGAGAACGTAGACTAACCAGACAAACTGGTGTCTTTTTCTCAGTTCCTGTTAAAGTGTAGAACCCTAGCGAGTCATCTAACTTCTTCGAATTAACTTGAACACTGTCCATACAGACATCTATTTGAGGTTTTCTTTGGGTGTCTAGCTTTAGAAAGTATGTCTGGATAGCTGGAAACCTGTATTTCCCTGGTTCTATGTCTGGTGCTAAATTTAATGGATTGGCTAGTAAGTTGGGCTAGTAAGAAATTTATTTGAAAAATTCAAGCAGACCAACTCTGGTCCTGAGTTTAGAAAGTGAGAATTTGGGGGCCAGTAACACAAAAGGTTGCGCAAACCTTTCCAGAGAGCCGCATGTGGTTCAACTCAAACCCAGAACCAGGATTTGAGAGATGAAGGGTGTTACCTGTTTGCATGTGTTGACAGTTGTACAAATACATTTATCCTTTGTAGATGACAGTGGTCACAATGCTCTGTTAAAGTTGTTAGGACTTGAGAAAGCTGATATAAATTACAAGCTTCTTTTTAAATGGTCCAAACTGTTTTGTAACACAAACATTAACAGGTTATATTTTTGTAGAGCTGGGGAGGGAGCAGTATGATTAAGATTGAGTTTTCATATCATAAGCCAGAATTTCCCTAGAAGTTACCACTTTGGTATTTCTTGTATCGGGAAATGAAGTGTTCTAACTTTTACTAGCTGTTTGTTAACGTACAAGTAAAAAATGGTACTATATATTGACCTGACCACTCATTTTTGAAAGTTTTGTGTTTATCTGTAATCTATGGCAATTGTTGTTTTTAGAGCAAATGTCAAAACAAACAAGCATTCCACCCTGATACTTACGACAGCATTCCTTTCACATAAAATTTGCTTTTCCCCCCTTTGGTCCTGTGTATACTTTACTGAGGATAAATTTAGTATTTCAAAAAATGGTTTACAGCCCTTTGCTGATTTTATTCTTATCATAAGAATATAACTGAATTTTAAAAGTTCCTGTAAACACTTTTTAAAAGATGCAGTTGCTCTCAGAACTTTATTTTGTGTGAAGGTACCTGCTTTTGGCTCTTTGAAATAATACAGATGAGGTTTTTGTGTGCATTGGTTTATAGTAAAGGAGAATGCCTTTCTTCTAGGGTCCTGATGAAGAAGCCATTGTAGATCTTGGCAAAACTAGCTCAACCGTGAACACCAAGTTTGAAAAAGAAGAACTAGAAAGTAAGTTCATTTAAAATATTTTTTTAAGCTTAGCAGGGAGATGACCAGCTGATGCCTGCCAGTGTTCTTAAGATACTTTTTTTTTTTAATATTTATTTATTTGTTATGTATACAATATTCTGTTTGTGTGTATGCCTGCAGGTCAGAAGAGGGCACCAGACCTCATTACAGATGGTTGTGAGCCACCATGTGGTTGCCAGGAATTGAACTCAGGACCTTTGGAAGAGCAGGCAATGCTCTTAACCACTGAGCCATCTCTCCAGCCCAAGATACACTTTTTTTAAGTTTTAAGTTTTTCCTGCTTCTGGAAACATTGTTGTAGTCAGTGTTTGTTTAGAAGACTACTGAATACTTCTGTGGTGTAGCACAATGAATAATATTGTAGAAGATATTCTTTTTTTAAAAAAAATATGGTCTTTTTTTAAAGATTTATGTATGTATGTATGTATGTATGTATGTATGTATGTATGTATGTATGTATACAGTGTTCTGTCTGTATGTATGCTTGCAGGCCAGAAGAGGGCACCAGATCTCAGTACAGATGGTTGTGAGCCACCATGTGGTTGCTGGGAATTGAACTCATGACCTCTAGAAGAGCAGTCAGTGCTCTTAACCTCTGAGCCATCTCTCCAGCCCCTGTAGAAGATATTCTTACCTATGGTCCTGAGTATTTATTTTTTGCTGAATTATTGGCATAGATAGATTTCATAAAGCCTTTCCCATCTCATTGATTACTTGCCATTACTTCGAAAAATGAAAGGTAATGATTACAAAATGCTCTTGTCCCTTCCCCACACTCTTGGTGGACTGGCTGGAGCACCAGATTTGAAGCTGCAGCATCCTTAGTTGTCATCAGTGCTCAGTGGTGCTGCAGTGACCAGCACTTAGAACTGTGCAGCAGACGAGCTCTTTGTCCTCCTGCATGGGAAGAGATCCTATTAAACAGTTTTTCTTCTTTGTTAGGTTTCAGAAATAGTTTTGGAGTTATAGAATGTCAGCATACACAGTACAGAACATTTCTGCGTGTACCTTATACAGGTTCATCTAATGTTAAGAATATTATTTGTGAAATTGTACCATTTGTGAAAATACAGAAGTTAGACTGAATAACTCGAAAAGGATTTGCTTACAGTTTCCTAAGCTGAAGCTTTTATTTGGAATTCATTGATTTTTCTATTAATGGCCTCTTCTGTTCTGAGGACCCAGTTATAATGTCTCCCTAGTCTCCTATAATGCATGTGGGTTTCTCATTCTGACCTAGTCTTCATGACAGTGACAGTGGAGGAGGAGTGAGTGGGTGTGTGCTTTGTGCAGGGTCCTCAGTTTGCAGTCCCCATCTCTGTGCAGCAAGTCTATGGATATGATATCACTTATTGGTGACTTAATGTGGAAATTTGACTAAACTGGTGTTTGTGGCAAAGCTTTCATTGACACTTTATTAAAATTTGCCACTCATTTATCAGACTTTCTTTTGGGTGGTGGGGTGGGGATGGGGTTTCAAGGCAGAGTTTCTCTATGTAGCTTTGGAGCCTGTGCTAGAACTCACTCTGTAGACGAGGCTGACCTTGAACTCACAGAGATCTGCCTGCCTCTGCCTCCCAAGTGTGGAATTAAAGGCATGTGCCATTACTGCCTGACCCTGTATCAGGTTCTTAATCTGTTGCTATTAAGAAAGAGATGGAGTCCTCTGCATTTTATCCTGAATTTTCTGCCTCTGCCCCCTGAGTGTTAGGCTTGTGTCTTTGTGAGCTAACATGCCTGGCTAAAAATGGCTTACAAGTTTAAGAATACTCCATGTATCAGAGGGTACAAAGAAATAGCAAGACTGTCTTTAAATCCTTGAGTTTTAGTATATTTTTTACTTTTCTTTTTGCTATGAACTCAATAGAATTTATTTGTATCTTGGTATATTGGGTTGGTGTGCCAAGTGCTAGTTGGACCTATGGGATTGTGATCTTAGCACACAGCAGTGGGAGTTGACACTTCAGGTACAGTTCCACTCAAATAAAACTGTCAAATCAGTGAGTTTACTTACAGTTTTTACTTTAGTGAGATATAATTCACATAAGTACAGTAAGCCATTTAAACGTATTAAGTTCAGTATTTACATGCTGTTGCTCTACAGCTGTCCAAGTTTTAGTTCCAAGATATACCTGTCATCACTGAAGAAACCTTGAATAATTATGTTTTAAATCTGTAATTTCTAGTATAGTTTTTCTAATGATCGAGTTTTGATTTCTATAGAGGTGGGTCAAGTTCTTATTATGCTAAGTAGAGTTTTTAGAGATATTTTAACTAGTAAGTTTTTTGTGTTTCTAGAAGTTTGGTTATTTTTACTCTAAAACTTGCTCATTTACTTAGTGTATTTGTTGTTGTTTGTTTTTTTTTTCTTTTTTCTTTTTTTTTTTTTTGAGACAAGGCCTTGCTGTGTAGCTCAGTCTGCTCAGGACCTCACTAAATAGCAGGTCTGATGGTTAGTCTTCACTGTCTACTTGACCAGCTTCAGAATCACACAGTATCCACACCTGAGGGCTTCTCTGTGAGGGTGTTTCTAGTGAACTTTAACTGAAGAGGGAAACCTGCCTTTAAGGTGAGTGATCCCATGGCTTGGGATCACAGACTGAAAGAAAGGGAAAACGAAGAAAGACAGGAGGGTGGCAAGGAAAAAGGAGAACGCTAGCAGAGGTTTTGAAATCCCAATTTTGCTTCCTGATGTGTCAAGATCTGAGCAAGAGCACGGTGTGTCTGCTGTCATGCCTTACTGAATTTGGTGTACTTCTATATCTCATCAAAATAAGCTGAAATAAATTCTCCTTTGTAAATGTTGCTGATCATGTATTTGATCTTAGCATCTAGAAAGGCAGCATGAGAAAAGTAGCTAATATATCAGTCTGGCCTTGAACTTACAGTCCAGCTTTAGTTTCCCAAGTGCTTGGACACATCGCAACAGTATTGGTTTGGAAAGTAAAACCAAATTTTACTGAGTCAGCAAATTTGCAAGAGGCCAGGCATGGTGGTGCATTCCTGTGATCCCCACATGCAGGCAGAGGCAGGAGGAGTTTGAGTTTCGTGCTAGTCTAGCAAGATCCTGTCTCAAACGCTAAAATGAGAACAGAAAATCTCATCTAAGGATAGAGTTTTTAAAGTATTAATTTACTGACCATCTTAGGATATTTTTTTATGAAAATAATATTGTTAGCCTAATATTTCAGCATATTATAAAGGCAAAAAGCAACTCTGTCATTTTTCCATAATTGCCTATTTTTTTTTTGAATTTGTAGTCACATCTCTTTGTATTCAGCACAACAATACAACTTCAGTAGTGAACTGTTGAAACATTTGAAGAAACCAGTTGTTGCTTTAGTAGTGGACACAGTGTGGTTAGCTCTGTGACTAGTTCATTTGATTTAGTGGACAAAATAGAGACTACCCTTTGTGCTTCTTGGTGTGATCAAGTACAAAGGATCATATTTTCCCCATGGTAGCTTTTCTTATTCTAAAAGTACACAGTAAGGTGTTATTAAGTCTTATCTGCTACTCTCTCTCTCTTTCAAAACTTTTACTAGGCCACCGAGCTGTATATGTTGGTGTTCATGTACCATTTAGTAAAGAGGGTCGTCGGCGTCACAAGCACCGAGGGCACAAACATCACCACAGGAGAAGAAAAGACAAAGACTCAGATAAAGAAGATGGACGGGAGTCTCCTTCTTATGGTAGGAAGAAGTTGCTCTTCACTAATGGCTTGAACTTTTTTTCTAAGAAGTTTCATGTTTCTCACTTCATTCCTATGAAATAATTTAGCACATTGGGAGGAGGCCAATTAAAGTGGGGCATTTTTGTTTTGTCTTTTGAGGTAAGGCTTCTATGAGCAGCCCAGGTGGCCTCAGGCTTATTAGGCTTCTAAATGCAGGCACCATAGGCATGGGCCACCAGGATTTTTTTTCTCATCTCTATTTATTCTCTTTTCTTCATCTCTCTTCCCTGTCCCTTCCCTTTTCCTTCCCTTCTGCTATTCCATCCCTTCTTTCTGTCTGCTGGGTCATTAGGTCCAGGGCCTTTGTGCATGCTGGGTAAGCATGCTGCCACTGAGCGATTTCTCATCCCATAGTAACTTAAGATTTCATTGATAGAAATGTGGTCATGGTGGTAGTGGGACCCTCGTTTTCTTTTATTTAAAACTTTGAATATAAAAACTTGGTTCTTGTCATTTAGCTTTTTTTTTTAAATATAATTTTTTATTGAAAAAAAAAATTTCCGCCTCCTCCCCGCCTCTCATTTCCCTCCCCG